GAAGAACACCTCATCAAAAAGCCATTCTATAAAGGTCAATTCATTTCAATGTATTTGTGTACGGACCTGAAATAAAACAGACGTCGTCTCGGAAATCAGAGAATCAGAGAACGCAGAAAATACAATAATGACAAACAAATAAAAGCCATTGGTCCATAGGGAATATTTTCGTTCTGTTTTCAGTTTTATACAGTGCTTTTCTGGACACTCAAAGTCTCTCCACATTCTTTGACTCCAAACATGATGGTGATAAACTACTACTGTCGCCACAGCTGCCCTGGGGCACACTGACAGACGCGAGGCAACCAGTCTGTGCCATCAGCCCCTCCCACCACCACCAACCATTCACACACACACCAGACTCATTCTAATGTGGGGGGGTTTGCATAAATGCCACAACAACAGTTTGGCACTTTACAGCCGCAGCCGCCCCACTGTGGCACCTGCTGTTCAGAGGTCTCCCATCACAGCACTAACCGGGCCCTGCCATGCTTAGCTTCAGAGGTCTGAAGCTAAGCTAACTGTTTTATTGTTTATTGCATGAATGATTTAATGGATTTCATGTGATATTAATGTAAAGCACATTGGTCGCCTTGAGTCAGTGTTGCCAACTTAGCGACTTTGTCGCTAGATTTAGCGACTTTTCAGACCCCTATAGCGACTTTTTTTCAAAAAAGCGACTAGCGACAAATCTAGCGACTTTTTCTGGTGTTATTGGCGACTTATCTGGTGTTTTGGCGACTTATCTGGTGTTTTGGAGACTCGTGAAGCACGTATTGTTCTGCTGTCCTCAACGTGAGCCCCTCCCCCGTCCCAAAGCACTTACAGGCGGCCAGTCTCACAGTAGCCTTGCGCAGCAGTCCCAGCTACAGTCTATGGGCGGAGCAGAGAGAGAGGAGACTCAAAAGCACAGGAAGTTTTCAGGCTGCTGCAGACTGAACTTCAGCTCCACCACCACCACACATCCAAAGCTCCCCGGCCACTCCTACCACCGCCACCCCCCACTACCCCCCACTCCATCCGCGGCAGCTCTGTCCGTGACTCTGTTTTCTCTCAGTAGTGGGTCACATTAAATCATTTGTTATGCCAAACTATGAAAAAAAAAAAAAACGTACAAAAATAAACCTAAGTAACTCTGCCAGAGTGTGTCTTTTGGGTCACTTTGCCGGTCCCAAGCCCGGATAAAGGAGGAGGGTTGGTTGTAGAGCTAGCAATTTCACCCTACATAACAATCTTTTGATTACATTTGCTGTTATAACATTTAACAATACAGGACAAAACTGATGTGTGTAATGTGGATCTAGACAAAGCATTAAAATCATTAAATGTTGTTAATGTTGAAATTATTTTTGTACATTTGTAGTTCTAAACATATTTAGGGTGTTTTTACTCACTTTTGTCTCTCCCACGACCTTATTCCTCTCTCCTACAGCGTCCGTTACAGTTATTTGCAAATGGCAAATTATGCAAATTAGGCGATGACGTCATTTAGGGACTTCTAGCGACTTTTGGGACAGCCAATAGCTACTTTCCTTACTGAGGAGTTGGCAACACTGCCTTGAGTGTTGTGATAGATAGATAAGTGTCTCTGGAGGGGCAGGGGAAGCGTGTGTGTCATGTGACCGACCCACGATGAGCTAATTGAGACTTTACCGCAGGTGGTCTGGGCCTTCTCTGCGTAAGGACTGCAGAGTGAGTGGAATTTGGCGGACTTCCAGAACCCGGATTAGCATTATAGCAATAATAAAAATCTGTCGTCGGCATCACAAACTTTTTGGAATAACTTCAACGCCGTATTGTGCCTGCAGGACTTTTATATGAGAGTGGCAGTGTGCGTGCTGCGACCGGAGTATCACAGGTACTGGTCCAAACATAGAACTGGGAGTATCACAGGTACTGGTCCAAACATAGAACTGGGAGTATCACAGGTACTGGTCCAAACATAGAACTGGGAGTATCACAGGTACTGGTCCAAAAATAGAACTGGGAGTATCACAGGTACTGGTCCAAACATAGAACTGGGAGTATCACAGGTACTGGTCCAAAAATAGAACTGGGAGTATCACAGGTACTGGTCCAAACATAGAACTGGGAGTATCACAGGTCCACTTGGCAAATACATATCGATAATCGAATCGCGGGAGAAAGTATCGTGATATATCAAAAAATTTATATATCAAAAAATCTATATATTGTCACACCCCTAATCAAAGGTACTGGTCCAAACAGAGAACTGGGAGTATCACAGGTACTGGTCCAAACAGAGAACTGGGAGTATCACAGGTACTGGTCCAAACAGAGAACTGGGAGTATCACAGGTAATGGTCCAAACATAGAACTGGAGTATCACAGGTACTGGTCCAAACATAGGATTGTCTCATTGATATGGAAACTGGTCTTAGTGAGGGTTTTTACGGGTCTACAGCATCAGTCCTGGATCTACAGCCTCAGTCCTGGATCTACAGCCTCAGTCCTGGGTCTACAGCCTCAGTCCTGGATCTACAGCCTCAGTCCTGGATCTACAGCCTCAGTCCTGGATCTACAGTCTCAGTCCTGGATCTACAGCCTCAGTCCTGGATCTACAGCCTCAGTCCTGGATCTACAGTCTCAGTCCTGGATCTACAGTCTCAGTCCTGGATCTACAGCCTCAGTCCTGGATCTACAGCCTCAGTCCTGGATCTACAGTCTCAGTCCTGGATCTACAGTCTCAGTCCTGGATCTACAGCCTCAGTCCTGGATCTACAGCCTCAGTCCTGGATCTACAGCCTCAGTCCTGGATCTACAGTCTCAGTCCTGGATCTACAGCCTCAGTCCTGGATCTACAGCCTCAGTCCTGGATCTACAGTCTCAGTCCTGGATCTACAGCCTCAGTCCTGGATCTACAGTCTCAGTCCTGGATCTACAGTCTCAGTCCTGGATCTACAGCCTCAGTCCTGGATCTACAGCCTCAGTCCTGGATCTACAGCCTCAGTCCTGGATCTACAGTCTCAGTCCTGGGTCTACAGCCTCAGTCCTGGATCTACAGCCTCAGTCCTGGATCTACAGTCTCAGTCCTGGATCTACAGTCTCAGTCCTGGATCTACAGCCTCAGTCCTGGATCTACAGTCTCAGTCCTGGATCTACAGCCTCAGTCCTGGATCTACAGTCTCAGTCCTGGATCTACAGTCTCAGTCCTGGATCTACAGCCTCAGTCCTGGATCTACAGCCTCAGTCCCGGATCTACAGTCTCAGTCCTGGATCTACAGTCTCAGTCCTGGATCTACAGCCTCAGTCCTGGATCTACAGCCTCAGTCCTGGGTCTACAGCCTCAGTCCTGGATCTACAGTCTCAGTCCTGGATCTACAGTCTCAGTCCTGGATCTACAGCCTCAGTCCTGGATCTACAGTCTCAGTCCTGGGTCTACAGTCTCAGTCCTGGATCTACAGCCTCAGTCCTGGGTCTACAGCCTCAGTCCTGGATCTACAGTCTCAGTCCTTTAAGCATAGAGCACCTGTATTTATTGCATCATAGACCCTTTATCAGGATGAGGTACTATCCAACCCAAGACCGTGAAGCAGGGTCATTCTTAAAGTATTTGAGAATGAATGATGAATTTTACTCACGGATTTAGTTAAATTTAGGCTTTCTATCCTAAGTCCAAAACATATTAAATGATACCTTTCCTGTCCATAAGGAGTCGTCAGTAAGACCTTTGTCCTCTGTAGACCGTTCTGTATGTATGACCTCCGTCTGTCAGTGATCCTCTCTCTGTGATAATCCCACTCCCCTCCAGCCGTTTATACGTTAGATACTGCAGCTAACATAAATGGAATACTTAAAATCTACTCCTGGATTAACCTGGTTCAGCCTCAGTCCTGGGTCTACAGCCTCAGTCCTGGGTCTACAGCCTCAGTCCTGGATCTACAGCCTCAGTCCTGGGTCTACAGCCTCAGTCCTGGATCTACAGCCTCAGTCCTGGGTCTACAGCCTCAGTCCTGGATCTACAGCCTCAGTCCTGGATCTACAGCCTCAGTCCTGTTATTATTGCATTTCCAGAGCTTTAAAGACCTTATGACGGGTTTTAAAAAAAAAAAATAGTGGATATCAAAATTGCACGACAATGTCAATTTGAAAGAGATTCCGGCAAAAAAAATCCTATATTTTATCAAAAGAACGTGTTTTTCATGAATTTAAGTTGTCTATGCTCTAACCTGTGTGTGACGTCATAGCGGGTTACGCCCATGCATTGAAAACCATGGATCTATGCCACAGGACTGCCTTTTCTCTCTTCTCTCCACTGATGCCCAACACAATACTGCCCTCTACAGGTGACAATTGTTCACTACACATAAATTGCCGTTTTGAGAAAAGTGTCCGAGGAGGGATTTGAACCCAAGTATCTGGATTGGCAGTCCATCAACATAACCACTGGACTATCTCAGTGACAACAAAATGTGACATTCTAGTAGTTATCTCATACTCGCTGTGCACGGCCTTGTCATTTTGAATATCCGCGAAAAAAGAACGAATACCAAATTGTAAACAACTTACAGCGTTGAAACGTACCCGTTCTGACGTCACCAAGGGCTGTGAAGTTTTTTCGTTTCTAAGGGCGTTGCTATGGGGTTATTTCGATTTGGGGGGATCAGACAAAAAAAACAACAACTGATTTTGAAACCTTTAGTAGTTCTCTTCTAATATAAAATGGTATTAAAACTGTATGTCTAAATAAATCAAACCCGTCATAAGGTCTTTAACGTTTTGATTCTGATCCGTTGTGGGTGAATCTACATGAATTTTGTTTTGTACTCACACAGGTTTGCAGTTTTTCTAAAGAATTCCTCGAGTTTATGACACATGGCCCGGTGCATTTGAGCAGATAAATCACTTTTCCTTCACTTTCCACACTGAAGGCACTTACACCATTCCTCTCCCTCCGTCTCTAATCGTCTCTGTTCCCATGTCTTTCCTCCAGAATCTCCTGTATCCCCCTCTTCCTTGCTCCATACAGCATCACTCACCACTCCACTGCAGGGCTGCCCCATCGGACTCACGCAGCCCCACGCTGAGCCTCTCCGGAGCCAAGGCCCGGAACAAAGAGCCCATTGAGCCCGAGCAGAGACATAATGCTGGGTCTGCCTCTGACAGCACCAGGATGAAGTCATGAGGTCCGCGGACTGGGTCTACAGCTGCGCAACGAGGAGGAGCACTGAGCCGGGTGTAGCTAGCAGCACATGTGGGGACGTAAGTGTTTGGGGGTCGGAGCATTGGCAGTGATTATGAGAAAACTGTCCAAAAAAAATCTTTGTTTGGTTCAGTAGAAAGAGTAGCCCCCTATGAACAACTCTGATATAAGAATAAGCACAGATGTGAGGAAAACCAAGTGGAATGGGGAAGATATCTGAATTCTATTAGTCCATTTCTGGGTCAAGGTGGTGGACATCATAGCACCAGCCCCTCACCGATCCTCCTGGAGTTTGTGGGTTCACGGGAAGATGGCACGGCCTTGGTGTTTCAGCGGGGCTTCAGGCAAAGTGGGGTTGAAGTGTCTTGCCCAGGGACACAATGACACACAAGGGACACATCTTAAATATCTCCACCACAGAAAGTCATAGTCACTGTGCTTCAGCGATCCAAAAACATTAGCCTTTATTTCTCCTTCTTCCCTTTTCCCTCTGTCTTTCTCTAACTACTATACACTATATATTTAGATACATGTGTTATTATCATTATTATTACTATTGTTAGGTTTTCATAATGGTCAATGCATTTGTTTTGCTTGAGAGGATGGATGTGTTTTTGCTGCTATACCGGACACCTGAATTCAATAAAGTATCTATCTACTGTATGTCTGTACCATTAAAACACTGCATACTGTATGTCTGGAGCTGGAATTGAACCCAGAACCATCCTGCTGTGAGTTACTAAGCACCGAGCCACTGTGCCGCCCAAAGAGATACTTGGTAGAGACCCATTAAAAACAAATAAAAATCAAAAAAGGAAAAATGTACATTGCTTTTGTCAAGGAGTGAGTATTAAATGATTCGGTAAAGTGTTAAAATGCCTTCACAGGGGCACAGCCTGGAGCAGTGTCGGGTTTGGGACATGGGAACAGAGGGAGCAGAGGGAGGGAGGAGGAGGAGGAGGAGGAGAAGGAGGAGAAGGAGGCGGCGGTTACAGAATGCTGAAAGACCGCTATGCAATTGATTATTATGAGGCCTCGCTGAAGTTCAGGCTGCAGGGTCCTGGGCTGAGGCTGTCTCTGCTGCACATCTGAGTTCAATTCTCTGCATGCCCCTTGCTCTGAAAATCAATTTTCCTCCTCCTCCTCCTCCTCCTTTTCTCTGCTTTTCCTCCAGCTTTGCACACAAAAAAACAGACCGGGGCAAAGGGATTACTCTGTCCCTCCCAGATCAGGCAAGAAACAAATGCTTCTTATCAACTGACACCCCCCTGTCAGCCAGGAGGAGGAGGAGGAGGAGAAGGAGCAGGAGGACCAGGAGGAGAAGGAGGAGGAGGAGGAGGAGGACCAGGAGGAGAAGGAGGAGGAGGAGGACCAGGAGGAGAAGGAGGAGGAGGACCAGGAGGAGGAGGAGCAGGAGGAGGAGGAGGACCAGGAGGAGGACCAGGAGGAGGAGGGGGAGGACCAGGAGGAGGAGGAGGACCAGGAGGAGGAGGAGGACCAGGAGGAGGAGGAGGACCAGGAGGAGGAGGACCAGGAAGAGTAGGAGGACCAGGAGAGACCGATCCAAGAGAGACCGAACCAAAAGAGACCGATCCAGGAGAGACCGATCGAGGAGAGACCGGTCCAGGTGAGACTGGTCCAGGTGAGACTGGTCCAGGAGAGACCGGTCCAGGAGAGACCGGTCCAGGAGAGACTGGTCCAGGAGAGACCGGTCCAGGAGAGACTGGTCCAGGAGAGACCGGTCCAGGAGAGACCGGTCCAGGAGAGACCGGTCCAGGAGAGACTGGTCCAGGAGAGACCGGTCCAGGAGAGACCGGTCCAGGAGAGACCGGTCCAGGAGAGACCGCTCCAGAAGAGACCGGTCCAGGAGAGACCGGTCCAGGAGAGACCGCTCCAGGCCTCTCCTGTTTATGTATGTTAAATGTTTACGTCTTTGGTTCTATATTGCACATTCTGACATTATACATATAGTATATAATCATCACTGTTAGTCCTCCTTGTTTGTTGTACAGTCTGACAGCAGCAGGGAGCCCAGACCTCTCGTCCACACAGCGAGGGTGGACCAGAGGGTGGGAAGTGAACCTCTGTTTCTAATCAATCATGGCTTTTGATCCGAGCTCCTCTTTCACACCGAGGAGGAACTGAGCAGAGACCGGGTCCAGGGTCCAGGCCCAGAGGGTGCGGGGGTCAGGGGGGAGAGATTAAGTCCGAACGGGATTTTACTCCCATCCTGAGAACGGAGCTTTACTTCATCCACTCAATTAACACGAGGATCAAGACCCTCTTGAACCAAAGACGGCAGCATCGATTTGGATCTGACTCATTAAGGAGAGGATCAAACTGGTTTTAAATCATACAATATGTCTTTCTCTCTGGTCTCTCTCTTTAGTCTCTTTCTCTGGTCTCTCTCTCTGGTCTCTCTCTCTGGTCTTTCTCTGGTGTCTCCCTCTGGTCTCTCTCTGGTCTCTCTCTCTGGTCTCTCTCTTTAGTCTCTTTCTCTGGTCTCTCTCTCTGGTCTCTCTCTCTGGTCTCTCTCTGGTCTCTCTCTTTAGTCTCTTTCTCTGGTCTCTCTCTCTGGTCTCTCTCTCTGGTCTTTCTCTGGTCTCTCTCTCTGGTCTCTCTCTGGTCTCTCTCTCTGGTCTCTCTCTTTAGTCTCTTTCTCTGGTCTCTCTCTCTGGTCTTTCTCTGGTCTCTCTCTCTGGTCTCTCTCTCTGGTCTCTCTCTTTAGTCTCTTTCTCTGGTCTCTCTCTCTGGTCTCTCTCTCTGGTCTTTCTCTGGTGTCTCCCTCTGGTCTCTCTCTGGTCTCTCTCTCTGGTCTCTCTCTTTAGTCTCTTTCTCTGGTCTCTCTCTCTGGTCTCTCTCTCTGGTCTCTCTCTGGTCTCTCTCTTTAGTCTCTTTCTCTGGTCTCTCTCTCTGGTCTCTCTCTCTGGTCTTTCTCTGGTCTCTCTCTCTGGTCTCTCTCTGGTCTCTCTCTCTGGTCTCTCTCTTTAGTCTCTTTCTCTGGTCTCTCTCTCTGGTCTTTCTCTGGTCTCTCTCTCTGGTCTCTCTCTCTGGTCTCTCTCTTTAGTCTCTTTCTCTGGTCTCTCTCTCTGGTCTCTCTCTCTGGTCTCTCTCTGGTCTCTCTCTTTCGTCTCTTTCTCTGGTCTCTCTCTCTGGTCTCTCTCTCTGGTCTCTCTCTGGTCTCTCTCTCTGGTCTCTCTCTCTGGTCTCTCTCTCTGGTCTCTCTCTTTAGTCTCTTTCTCTGGTCTTTCTCTGGTCTCTCTCTCTGGTCTCTCTCTGGTCTCTCTCTCTGGTCTCTCTCTTTAGTCTTTTTCTCTGGTCTCTCTCTCTGGTCTCTCTCTTTAGTCTCTTTCTCTGGTCTCTCTCTCTGGTCTCTCTCTCTGGTCTCTCTCTGGTCTCGCTCTTTGGTCTTTCTCTCTGGTCTCTCTCTCTAGTCTCTCTCTGGCCCCTTTTCTAGTCTCCCTCTCTGGTCTTTCTGGATTCTCTCTTTCTGGTCTCTCTCTCTAGTCTCTCTCTGGCACCTTTTCTAGTCTCCCTCTCTGGTCTTTCCGGTCTCTCTCGCTATGGTCTCTCTCTAGGCTCTCTCTCTCTGTTCTCTCTCTAGTCTCTCTCTGGCCCCTTCTCTAGTCTCCCTCTCTGGTATTTCTGGCCTCTCTCTAGTCTCCCTCTCTGGTCTTTCCGGTCTCTCTCTAGGCTCTCTCTCTCTGTTCTCTCTCTAGTCTCTCTCTGGCCCCTTCTCTAGTCTCCCTCTCTGGTATTTCTGGCCTCTCTCTAGTCTCTCTCTCTGGTCTTTCTGGCCTCTCTGAAGTCTATCTCTGGCCCCTTTTCTAGTCTCCCTTTCTGGTCTCTCTCTCTCTCTCTAGTCTTTCTGGTCTCCCTCTCTGGTATTTCTGGTCTCTCTCTCTCTCTCTTTGTGAAAGTGACTGTGTGACTACATGGGAAAACTAGCAACACATCTGGTGTATCTACAGTTGCTGCTGTTCATTCATACACTCTGCCCCATTCACATAAACAAATAAACAAATCCATAAACCTGAGTTAACCGTTAAAACACCCCCAATATAAAACCTCTTCTGTATTGTGCACTAACGCAGACTGGAAACAGTTTAGAGGCCGCGACTAAAGGCCTCAGTCCATCCCCGCGGGAGGCTTTGTGTGGCGTGGAGGAGGTGGGACACTTGTTGAGTCTCATTCACGCTGCGTCCTGCTGCGAAGGTGTGAGTCTGACACACACCATAATAAATACCACCGCACAGGGTCTCACTGCGCCCGCTTTGTTACTGCTGGTGGGAGGGAGACCGCTGAAGAGACCGGCGTCAACGGCCGAGACCATCGTCAACGACCGAGACCATCGTCAACGACCGAGACCATCGTCAACGACCGGACTATGAACCACACTGGATTAAAAGATGTGTCATGGTGTGGATTTTATTTCTGTTTTTGGTTTTATTTTGGTCCTGATGTGTCTCACCTGTCTCTCTGTGTCTATATGTACCTGTGTCTCTGTGTCTATATGTACCTGTCTCTCTGTGTCTATATGTACCTGTGTCTCTGTGTCTATATGTACCTGTGTCTCTGTGTCTATATGTACCTGTGTCTCTGTGTCTATATGTACCTGTGTCTCTGTGTCTATATGTACCTGTGTCTCTGTGTCTATATGTACCTGTGTCTCTGTGTCTATATGTACCTGTGTCTCTGTGTGTCTATATGTACCTGTGTCTCTCTCTGTCTATATGTACCTGTGTCTCTGTGTCTATATGTGTCTATATGTACCTGTGTCTCTGTGTCTATATGTACCTGTGTCTCTCTCTGTCTATATGTACCTGTGTCTCTGTGTCTATATGTGTCTATATGTGTCTATATGTACCTGTGTCTCTGTGTCTATATGTACCTGTGTCTCTGTGTGTCTATATGTACCTGTGTCTATATGTGTCTATATGTACCTGTGTATATATGTACCTGTGTCTATATGTGTCTATATGTACCTGTGTCTATATGTACCTGTGTCTATATGTGTCTATATGTGTTTCCATGTAAACAAGGGACACGGAATATTAAAAATAATAATAATAATAATTAAGCCGCACCTGAGTTTAGTAGCGTAAAGTGCTGCAAAACATACACAAAAATAAAGCTCGGCTCGATCTTTACAGGTCTAGGGTCTCGGCTCGGTCTTTATAGGTCTAGGGTCTCGGCTCGGTCTTTATAGGTCTAGGGTCTCGGCTCGGTCTTTATAGGTCTAGGGTCTCGGCTCGGTCTTTATAGGTCTAGGGTCTCGGCTCGGTCTTTACAGGTCTAGGGTCTCGGCTCGGTCTTTACAGGTCTAAGGTCTCGGCTCGGTCTTTATAGGTCTAGGGTCTCGGCTCGGTCTTTACAGGTCTAGGGTCTCGGCTCGGTCTTTATAGGTCTAGGGTCTCGGCTCGGTCTTTATAGGTCTAGGGTCTCGGCTCGGTCTTTACAGGTCTAGGGTCTCGGCTCGGTCTTTATAGGTCTAGGGTCTCGGCTCGGTCTTTATAGGTCTAGGGTCTCGGCTCGGTCTTTATAGGTCTAGGGTCTCGGCTCGGTCTTTATAGGTCTAGGGTCTCGGCTCGGTCTTTATAGGTCTAGGGTCTCGGCTCGGTCTTTACAGGTCTAGGGTCTCGGCTCGGTCTTTACAGGTCTAAGGTCTCGGCTCGGTCTTTATAGGTCTAGGGTCTCGGCTCGGTCTTTACAGGTCTAGGGTCTCGGCTCGGTCTTTATAGGTCTAGGGTCTCGGCTCGGTCTTTATAGGTCTAGGGTCTCGCCTCGGTCTTTACAGGTCTAGGGTCTTGGCTCGGTCTTTATAGGTCTAGGGTCTCGGCTCGGTCTTTATAGGTCTAGGGTCTCGGCTCGGTCTTTACAGGTCTAGAGTCTTGGCTCGGTCTTTACAGGTCCGGGGTCTCGGCCTTGTGGTTCTCCTGACTCAGTCTGTTAGAGACTTGTGTGTGACCTCTGAGACCCCTGACCCCGGAGCTCTTTGGCTCTCAGCATGTCAGTGAAAATTACGTTAAGTCTTAAGAGGAGCCTTTGTTACAGCCGTCACCCGCGCTCAGAAGTTATTAGATAAGAAAACACTGACTTTTTTAGTTTGAGGAGATGAAAGAGAGGCCGAGGTCCCCCAAAAGTCAGGTTATCACTAGAACTTTTGCTTTGATTCTCCCCGCAAAATATAGACCCATGAACTTGGACACAACACCTTAGTCTAGTGTGAATTATTGCTCTCATCCTGCAGCAGTTGTAGAGGCTTTCCTAAAGAGATTGGTGGTAATTTGTCATCTTCTTTTGGAGTAATTTTGGGGCGATATTTTTCCCTCAGTTGCCAGGGTAAGACTCTGAAGCAGTCAGAGCAGCACAATGATAGAGCGGTGTATCGTTAACCATTAAAAGAGAAAGTATGGAACATAAAACGACAACAGCCAAAAACAAATTTCTAATGCGATTCATTCTAACCCTGAAACAACTCATTTTGTTCATGTATTGCCTCAGAGAAATCTCACTGCAATTTAAACATAGCTAAAAACTGAGGTTGTTTAATTAGATAGATAGATATACAGATAGATAAATAGGTAGATAATTTATTGATCCCTGTAGGAGGAATTCAGGTGTCCAGTTGCAGCAAAAATAAAAAATAAAATTGATCATTCTAAAAATTGTACATGTATAACAGAGAGATTATGGATTGTACCCATTTATGCCTGGTTTTTAGTGATAGAGGTAACCGGAGTATACAGAGGAAACCCGCGCAGACATGAGGAGAACATGCAAACTCCACTCAGAGGTAGGTGATGTCAGAGTCAAGAGACATGAAAACATACACATAGAATGACTGAGCTCCCCTGATACTGATCCCACTATTATCCAGTGATTGGTAGCTCTCACACCACTTTAAACCTCTGTTCAGTTGTGATTTTGATAATATATCTTGGTCATATTAGTCTGGATCTTGGAGCAGTTGTCGGCGCTTTCCTTTTGAGAATCTTGAACAACAATTACATCCAAAACATGGACCATCTCAACACTAAACTTCCAGGACAAAACGCTGTGACTGTTGCTTCTCCGCGGCATCAAGAAGTCAGAGAGCGAATTTGGAAAACAGCGAGGTTCCACAGGGCGTACATATCCAGGCAGCCGGAAGCGAGCCAGACATTGGACAAAGGCTGAAGTGGGTCCCCTCCAACCCCAGCAGCAGTGGGCAGCAGTGGGCTAGGCTAATCCAGAGCCTCAGGTCCCAGCGAGGTGACTGCCAAAGCCGGTTCCCCCACTGCTGCCGGAAATTGCCTTGAGTGCAGAGGGCCGTGAAATGTCTGTGGCGTGGAGAGGAATGGGCAGCGTGTTCACAGGGGCCCGGAGATACTTTACAAACTGAAGCAACAGGTGGCGCCGAGCGGAGAAAGATACGTCTACAGAAGAAAACCAACTGGATTTTTATGTCTCTACGAGTAAGAGTTTGGTGATCGCTCAATCCACTGCGGTAAGAAATCACAGGAAAGGTTTGCAGGGGATTCTTCAGTTATTCTACGTGGTCAAAAGAAAAGAAAGAGCAAATTCTAAAAGTAACCATTGCAACATGTTTTGTGACTCTGTCGGTGTAAGTTGAAATAGATGGATTAAAGAGATAGATTGATGAATAGATAAAATAGAATAGATAACTGGGGCGACAGTAGCTCAGTTGGTAGAGCATTGGCCTTTGGGCCTGAAGGTCGTGGGTTCGAGCCCACCGTAAGACCTACTTCACGACTCCCACTGATGACTGCTGTCGTTGTGTCCTTGGGCAAGACACTTTGCCCAAAGCCCCAACTGAAAGATCTCAGCTCCTGTGGACTCAGCACCTGGAGGAGGATCAGTGAGGGGCTGGTGCTCTGTGTACTGGGTGCAGCTCTGACTGCCACCCCCCCGACCCAGAAATGGATTAAGGGGAAGAAAATGGATGGATGAATAGATAACTTACTCAAAAGATTGGGCGATATCGGAACGAAGTTAATCAATATTTTGACCCCTTCTGGGCAATTTATGATTTTAAATTGATTTTAGGCAAAGTCACTTCAAACTGTTCAAATTTCAACCATATTTTTTCCATTCTTCAACAGCTACAGTCCTGGATCCACAGCCTCAGTCCTGGATCCACAGCCTCAGTCCTGGATCTACAGCCTCAGTCCTGGATCTACAGCCCCCTGGATTGTCTCATGGAAATGTGACAAAGGTTCTGTATCTCTCTTATAAAGCATGTGTAGTGATTTGGAACAATTCTCCACTGTTAAAAGTTTGGTGAAATATTAATTTGTGTTTGAGTGTGTGTTTCTGGCACCAAAGGGCCGTCTCTGCTGTGTGCGGTTGTGTGTCAGCCTCGACAACGCCTCCTCCATTGTGCTGTTTGACCCATGGGCCAGTCCCCGCTCCCATGAGGTCCCTTATCCCTCCATCAGTCCTCTCTCATTAGCCCCCACAGGCAGAGCCCAGAGAGAGCCAACACACACACAGACACACACACACACGCACACAGACACACACACACGCACACACGCACACACACACACACACACACACACACACACACACACACACACACACACACACACACACACACACACACACACACACACACACACACACACACACACACACACACACACACACACACACACACAGAGAGAGAGTCTGCACTTCTTCAAAAAAGCATGAGTCACAGAATAGCTAATGCTAACCGCAACATATTTTTATGTTGTTGAAATCAATTCAATTTACTTTTGTATAGCTCTAGACTGTGGCTGTAGATCCAGGACTGAGGCTGTAGACCCAGGACTGAGGCTGTAGACCCAGGACTGAGGCTGTAGATCCAGGACTGAGGTTGTAGACCCAGGACTGTGGCAGTTGATCCAGGACTGAGGCTGTAGACCCAGGACTGAGGCTGTAGACCCAGGACTGAGGCTGCAGATCCAGGACTGAGGCTGTAGATCCAGGACTGAGGCTGTAGACCCAGGACTGTGGCAGTTGATCCAGGACTGAGGCTGTAGACCCAGGACTGAGGCTGTAGACCCAGGACTGAGGCTGCAGACCCAGGACTGAGGCTGTAGACCCAGGACTGAGGCTGTAGACCCAGGACTGAGGCTGCAGACCCAGGACTGAGGCTGCAGACCCAGGACTGAGGCTGTAGACCCAGGACTGAGGCTGCAGACCCAGGACTGAGGCTGTAGACCCAGGGCCGAGGTCAAAATATAGTCTGACTAATGGGAACTCTGCTGATGCTGAATATGACCTATGAAAGCTCAGACAAGCACTTCCTCCATGGCCAACACATGACAGAGGTAGAAGCAAAGGTTTTTAGCTCTGACTTGGAAATTGTCGTAAATGTGCATTTGAAAAAACAGAAGTAGTATTATTCTAAGGCACTATATGAAGCACACGCTAATTGCTAAACTTCTACTCGATCATGTCGTTATAAATGGATTGTCATTTCTTAATAGCAGCTCTTGTGTGTTCTAGTTAATTTGTTTTTCTGTTTTAATGTGAGGTTTGGCGGGACAGAAGTCACGGTGGCGGGAGGCGGAGGAGGGACTGGGCAGGAACAGACACAGAAACAGTTGATTATGAGTCCCATCAAGTGATCAATGATTTCATTAATAAGACGGATCACACGGCTGTCATCGCCGTGACGCGAGCTGAGAGATGATCCGCTCCCTACGCTCCATTTTCCCCGCGTAGCCTTCGTCCCCAGTTCTTCACTCCCTCCCTCCCTGTCCTCCCTACTTTCCCCCCCTCCTGCCAACGACAAGGGAACACCACAGAAAAATCGAGCTGGAAGGAATAGACAAGAAAAGGGGAGGCGGTCATGAGGGAAAGGGGAGAGAGAGAGGAGGAAGAAAAGTGAAAATCCATTTTGAAACCCATTTTCAATTAGGGGTCCACAAGCTGTTATCACAGGTGTCCCAGAATGGAGGCCCGTAAGTGAAAATGTCTCCTATCCGTTTGTGAAATGAAACCTTATCTGGGAGGCACAAAGATGGCGGGGACAGCGTATCTGTAAATTACTTTCCATCCGCGCTGTTAACGGGAACTTTATTTCTGTCAGATGACATTCTCCTCTATTTACTGTTGATCATTTAAATGGCTGCCTAAAAAGAGGTGGCCACAGACGCTCGGGGCCTATCTCTCCTCTGTCTGCGGATGTATTCAAAGCACTCGACTGTGGGGTTTTGATCCCTAAACACTTTAGCTATGCTTTCTTTTTCTCATCCACAAAAAGCAAGAGAACCTTTTGCACTTAAGGCTTCTCCCTTTTAAACCCAGTGCAATAAAAAGGTCTTACCACAGCTATTTCATAAACAGATGTTCCAAACCCTGACTAATTCCCCAGCCAAGTAATGCCTCATGCTATTACTTACACTAACTCCCGCTCCATTCCTAAACCCATATTAAAACCCAACCACAACCTTTTCCCTTCTCCATATAACCAACCATATAGCCCCACCCTTCCTCACTTTTTATTAGTAAATTATCCCATGACGACAGGATTCATTCAGCCAAGGGGCATGGACATCGTTTTTTTCTTATAGTTTTGACCCAACAAAAGAATCAGGGGACTTTGTGGTCCACCTGCCTGCCGAATGATGGGCGAGGGAGGGGAAGGGACCCCGCAAACCCCCTCCTAAAGAGCACCAATCACAGCATTGTTGTGGCACAGTCGGTTCTTTTGAGCTGTCAGCGAAGAGGAGGAGACAGGGAGATGAATGGATCGCAGGACCAAGCCACGGTTAGGACCATGTGGGAACCAGGACTCCATCATTCTCACTACTGTCTTTAGTCACTTTAGATGTTTCTGAGTCGACACAAGATTAATTTTATTTGTGGAAGCTTAAACAACGGTAATGAATGTTTTAAGAGGACTAACCTAGTCTCTCTCACTGGTCTCTTATTGATCTCTATCTGGTCTCTCTCTGGTCTCTCTTTGGTCTCTCTCTCTGGTCCCTCTCTAGTCTCTCTTTCTGGTCTCTCTCTCTGGTCTCTCTCTAGTCTCTCTTTCTGGTCTCTCTCTCTGGTCTCTCTCTGGTCTCTCTCTCTGGTCTCTCTCTAGTCTCTCTTTCTGGTCTCTCTCTCTGGTCTCTCTCTCTGGTCTCTCACTGATCTCTATCTTGTCTCTCTTTGGTCTCTCTTTGGTCTCTCTCTCTGGTCTCTCTCTAGTCTCTCTTTCTGGTCTCTCTCTCTGGTCTCTCTCTGGTCTCTCTCTCTGGTCTCTCTCTAGTCTCTCTTTCTGGTCTCTCTCTCTGGTCTCTCTCTCTGGTCTCTCATTGATCTCTATCTTGTCTCTCTTTGGTCTCTCTCTCTGGTCTCTCTCTAGTCTCTCTCTCTGGTCTCTCTCTAGTCTCTCTCTCTGGTCTCTCTCTCTGGTTTTCTCTCTCTGGTCTCTATTTGGCCTCTCTCTGGTCATTCTCTGTCTCTCACTGATCCCTCTTTTGTCTCTCTGGTCTTTTTATGGTCTCTATCTGGTCTCTCTCACTGGTCCTTCTGGTCTCTCTCTCTTGTCTCTCTTTGGTCTCTCTCGCTGGTTTCTCTCTCTGGTCTTTTTCTGGTCTCTATCTGGTCTCTCTCTAGTCTCTCTCCCTTGTCTCTCATTGATCTCTCTCTGGTCTCTCTCTGATCTCTCTCTGGTCTCTCTCTGGTCTCTCTTTCTGATCTCTACCTGGACTCCCTCATTCTCACCACTGTCTTTAGTGCCTTTGATCAGATGTACTTGTTTCTGAGTCTGAGTTTGTTTGTAGACGTTTAAACAACAGTAATGAATGTTTAAAAGGTCTGTCCTTGATCTTCAAACATCTTCAAGTGAGTGATTTGATGAAACAATGAACTGATGAAAGGGCTCCAGATTAAAGGAGACAAATATCATGTGTTTAAGAAAGACATTTAATGATGTTGTAATGGACCAGCTGTGGAGCCATCATTAAAGCTACTTTTACTGTGCATTTAAAAAGTTACTGACCCAAGTTATATAGTAGAGTCAGTTCTCTGAAAGTATTATCTCTCTCTGGTCTCTCTTTCTGGTTTCTCTCTGGTCTCTCATAGTCTCTTGTATTCGATCTCTCTTTCTGGTATCTCTGGTATCTCTTTCTGGTGTCTCTCACTGAGGTTTCTCTCTTTCTCTGGTCTCTCTCTCTGGTCCATCTTGCTCATCTCTCTCCTCTCTCACTGGTCTCTCTGGTCTCTCTCTGGTCTCTTTCTGGTCTCTCTTGTCTCTTGTTCTCTAGTCTCTCACGGGTCTCTTTTGTCTCTTTCTCGGGTCTCTCTCATCTCTCTCTCTTGTATCCGATCTCTTTCTGGTCTCTCTCTTGTCTCTCTCTGGTATCTCTCTCTGGTCTATCTTGCTCGTCTCTCTCCTCTCTTTCTGGTCTCTCTCTGAACTCTGTATGAACTATACAAATAAACTTGCCTTGCCTAAAACCTACTCCACACCATCACCAGTCACCATAGACATCATTCAAACCATATATTTCTAGTTGATAGTCTGAATATCGTGATCTTAACACCAACAGAACAAGAGACCGCACAAAGCTTGTTCTTGTGATACTCTAAATGCTTTTAAAACCCAAAACAAGCGATCGCAGTGAGAGAAGCTGAACCCTAACCACGGTACAGTCCACACTGGTCCTGCCGCTGGGATCTCCGCGGGGTTCCCAGGATCACAGCCAGGGGCCTCTGCTGGACTGGCTCAGATATTTGGCCGGTGTCACAGGGGTTCCACAGCTGCTCACAATTACCTTTTGTTTGGATGGACGCGCAGGAGCAAAGGGGCGACAGGGTTAAAGTTGAGGCCAGTGTAGGGTTACACCTGATAAGAGGTTATGAGTTCTGGGGCAACTGGGGAATGTGCTGTAATTACAACCACGCAAAGAATGTGTAAGCTATCGTATGATTCTGAGAGCGATGGGGAGCAAAGAGACTGATCCACTGCTAGAGAGATAGATAAGATACCTGTAGGTAAATATAGATAGATAGATAGATAGATAGATACTTGTAGGTAGATATAGATATGATAGATAGATAGATAGATAGATAGATACTTGTAGGTAGATATAGATATGATAGATAGATAGATAGATAGATAGATAGATAGATTCTTGTAGGTAGATATAGATATGATAGATAGATAGATAGATAGATAGATAGATAGATATATAGATAGATAGATATAAAGATGGACATAAATAGATATAGAGAGATAGATAGATAGATATAGATCAACACAGAACATTCAACAATAGCAAACACATTGGTTCACAGGGAGCAGGATTACCACTGTCCAGAAACGTTAATAAATGTCGGGTAAAAAATTGTTGGTGAACCAAGTGGGACTCTGAGGAGCACAGGGACTGGCCTCTTACTGGGACTCTGAGGAGCACAGGGACTGGCCTCCTGCTGGGACTCTGAGGAGCACAGGGACTGGCCTCCTGCTGGGACTCTCAGGCTGTAGAACGAGGACTGAGGCCAGGAGAGACCAGAGTTCTCCCACACCTCAATCACTGATCCTGGCTGTAATCACGACCAACGCTACAAAGAACAATCCTCAAACAGGCTTTTCTCACCGCTAAATGTTTTCCTCACAGCTGCCTCCATAATTAATAAAACAGTGCGGACCATCTGGGAATGAGAAAGAGTACGTTCCCAAGATGCTCGAGATGCATTACCTTCCTCACTCCCTGCGTAATCCCATATGTGCAGCCACATATAAGGCCTTTTATCTTGTTTATCTCATACCATGTTTTCTCGCCACTTCTTGAAATTCTCTTTATCACCGGGCCACGCTATAATCCCCCTCTCGGCTAATGAGCACAGCTGCGGCTCCGACCACAAATGATCCCGACAAGTTTTGCTTTGACTTAAGCGAAGCAAAATAAGCGTCTTGTGTGAATGGTGACGGGGTGAATGACTAACGACAGGTTTAATGAACTGTACTCTCCCCGACGCTGCTAATAGCATGTGTTAAAGACGCAGCTATGTAAATATGCCAGAGTTCCGCTACTAGTCACTGCGCCCAGAGGCTCAAGAATAGAAGAAAAAGTAAACATTTGTGCTCTGGGACTTTGAGCAGGATCACTTTCATGTTTACTGTAACTGAGGATTCTTATCTCGACAAATTATCTCTTGAAGATTTGGTCGGAAACACTTAGGATCCTTTTGAAAGTCTGCTTGTGTGTGATTTACAGAGGCTTGGAGAAGTTTAAATGTTATGTATTATTCTGCACACATTTGAACGTATTTAGGGATGTGACAGTTCCAGAGAGAGAAAAGAGAGAAAAGAGAGAGAGACCAGAGAGAGAGACCAGAGAGAGAGACCAGAGAGAGAGACCAGAGAGAGAGCAGAGAGACGAGAGGGAGACCAGAGAGAGACCAGAGAGAAACCAGAGAAAGAGACCAGAGAGAGACCAGAAAGAGACCAGAGAGAAACCAGAGGGAGACACCAGAGAGAGACCAGAGAGAGAGAGAGACCAGAGAGGGAGACCAGACAGAGACCAGAGAAGGGCCAGCGAGAGATCAGCGAGAGAGACCAGAGAGACAGACCAGAGAGAGGCCAGAGAGACCAGAGAGAGATTCGAGAGAGATTAGAGAGTGAGACCAGTGTTTTACAGAGCTTGTAATAATATTCTCTGACCAACATAGTCAGGCTCAACCTCTCCAGGAAGCTTGATTAAACTAGCACATGTGACAAAACATTAGAACCGTCCAATTTCTCCAACTGTACCAACAGCCAAGATGGATGTATCTGAAACACAAGTGTACCTATAGTCTTTCTCACCCTGCCATTATTCACCGGCTAAATGACCAGTCCTCTCTGAGCTGGGAGTGTCCCGGGAGTACACATTACATTAACATAAATCATGTAGGAGACATTGCGGAGCCTTACCGTTTGAGGTGGTGCTTGAAGCCACCGCCTTCTCGCTAATGTCATGGCGCGTCAACGATCCCTTGGACGCGACAATGGTCTCCACCCTCTTCTTCTTCTCAGCTGCTGAACTGGCCTGGGATTGGGTTTCCATGATGATGGCTCATTCCTCAACACCTCATGGAGACGGGATAACTGGGAGGGGAAAAGGAAAGGTTGAAGCAAAGCAGATATATTTGAGATTTTTCTTTTTAGAGAAAGTATTTGAGAGTGCGTCTACGTCTGGGCAATACAGAATTAGGCAAAACTAGTGGCTCCTGTTTGATAGATAGACATGTATATATACCATGTACAAGTATGTGTGTGGGGAACTCCGACTGACTTCTCTAAACTTAAATAACTTTAAATCACTTCTCAAACTTCACTTCTGTTTCTGCATTGTCTTAATGTTGCTAGTTTTGTAAAGCGCCTTTGAGTGTCCAGAAAAGCGCTATATAAAATCCATGTATTATTATTATTATCATTAAATAAGGATAGAGGGTGTATGTTTTGCTGAATTTCATGTATGCTCTGCAATAAGTTTATGTTTTGTATTTTTTTATTCTTTTTTTGTCATGTCTGTTTTGTTTGGGATTGTACTTTTGTGTTTTTGTTTTGTGGTGTAAGTAAGTAAGTAATCTTTATTTAGTTGTATTTGTGTTCTTGTGAATGTGGTTGTGTTCGTCTGTTTTGTTTTCTTAATACAAATTTAAAAAAAATATTATTAAAAAAATTATTGTTTTGTGTGTGACAATGAGCTATATAGTCTCTTTAATATTACACATACATTGACAAAGTCAAGGTGGACAAAAATCAGACATATTACATCGTTGGACTGTGTTTCTCCCAACAGAAAGAGTGAAGAAAGAAGAAATCAGGCCAAACCATGCAGCCATGTATGTAACATGTGAGATAACATTTACTCCAGCTAACGGACAGAGTCACGCCTATCTCCGCCGTTCTAACTAATGGGCCAAAAAATTTGCTCTACTGGAGCAATCCAAAATGGCCGCGAGTGGTCCCGCCCACAAGAAAATTGTGAAAAAAACGCATCTGCGCATGCGTCAGCCGGCGCAACTCCATTCATTTGAACGAGAGACTTTTCACAGAGAAAATTCACAGCAAGTAAACTAGAGTGGACCAAAAAAATCACCCCCCTCAGCATTGACACACATGTGGAACGGAGCTTTGGGCCAAGAGCCAACTTTTGGTCCATCCTGTAAAGACGTTTTTGAGAGGTCTGCCAATGCTATAAGTTAGCATTGGCTAATTCTACTTCTGGGTCCACCCCCATCGGCCCAGGGTGGTATTGCAGCATGTCAGCGCACGTCATTTTGGCCACTTTTGAGTTGGGCCCCTCCCCCACTGGTCAAGAGTCATGGCTAAACATGGGGAGGCAGATTTATGCAGCTAAAGTCTTCATGAAAATATGAGACAGGCTTTTACTAAAGTAAACAGCTGTGCAGACAACTGAAGGATTGTACTGGTTTTAATGCACTGTGATTATTTATGTTTTAATGCCTTGTCTATCTTGTATGGTCAAGCACTTTGAGATGCCTTATGTATGAGCTGTGCAATATAAATAAACTTGCCCTAAATCAATTATGAAGACCAATATATAGGTACGGAATGCATAACTGATTTATGAATATATTTACTCAAATCTGGTGTAGTTTTTTCGACAATTACGACTCCAGGTGTAAGTGAGCTCTCCTGCTACAACCTGGTACAATGCATCTCTCCTTTTAGCTAACGTTTAATGTACACTGTCTCTTTAAGAGTAAAAATTATACCATAACATACAATACAATGGCCTACAATCTGTAACAAGGCTGCCCATTTCAGCCACATTTAAGTTGAATAATTTCTCACCGAAAAAAAAAAAAAGAAGTCTGGTCCAAGTTTAAACATTCTGTCGATAAACTGCCTGGAGAACAAGACTTCAACAGTTGAGGATAAAACGAGAAAAAAATAAAAATCCAACCTGCCTTTCTTGGATTCCCCCAACACCCCCAAAGGTCAATCCACCAGCCCGACCTGATTTATTTTAACTCAAAACAGCGAGTGTCTGAGGTGGCCTGGATAGCCTCACACCACAGCCACAATATTCCACCTAACATTTCCCTAACCTCATTCTCCACCATTCTCAACTTATGACTTATTGTCCAAAGAAAAACCCAAAAATAATAAATGAAACAACTTTATTTAGACGTATATGTGTGTGTTTTAAAGGCAAGCTCGTGGATAAACTGATAATCTTGCACAAACCTTAAGGGGATACCACAGAGAGAGAGACATTGGCGAAGCAGGCAAAAAAAACAAGGGTTGTTTGAAGGCCCTTTTGGGAATAACATGGTGCGGGGCAATTTCTCTTTCAAAGAATAAAGGTGGTTCAAGTTAATACTGTCTGTGGGTTTAGCAGGGGTTGAGCCAACAGTCTGGTAGACACGCCGCTCAGTTCAGCACCTCTGAGGCTGTCTACAAACTCCATCTAGGTCACGGAGGTCTCTGATTAGAAAGAGTACGAGAGTGTGTCATTTACTCAAAGCACAGGACGGCTTCATTATAAGGCAACGCCAAACGACCACGCCATCGGTCAAGGATAATTATATGAAATATTTAGCTAAATGTGCCACGAGAGACTTGCTAATTACCTGAAATGTTGGATTTTGGATAAACATGCATCAGTACAAAAAGTAGCAGTAAAAGTCAAGCCCTAATGTGAGACAGGCTTCTTCTCGGACTGTGTTTAAATCAGGGTAAAAAACAGTTTTGTAGCTTCACTTTCTTTAATGAACAGTGAATATTTATAATTCTTTTGGGTCTTTTTTTTCTTGTTTTTTTAAGGACTTTGAGTTGCCTTTTGTATGAAGTATTCTATACAATTAATACCTATTTTATTTAATGGATAAACATGTATACTCAGTTTATGCTAGCTGAGACGAGGCCAGCAGATGCATTTAAGAGCACAGAAGAAAAACTGCAACCTTAAAATAGATGTGTATGATTTTATTCTGCTTTAACTTGTTTGCACCGAGAGCAAAAGCAGTTTCCTAGTTTGTGACTTCTTGTTACTCACATGGCAATAAAAGGATTCTGATTCTGACTTGGACACATTTAGGGAAACTCATGAAATTTGCTTATCGATTGTATAGTTCCTTTGCCTCATGTTTCATTGTTGGGTCCAGGATAATAACATGAAATATTATAACACACAGGGTCTTGTTGTTTCTTGTAGATCTAAAGAGAGTGATGATGATCCAGGAAACTCGACATTCACCAACATTTATGGACTTTATCAACAAATATGGACATTGGTCTACTGCCCTTACGCACCAATGGCTGTATGTGTTTTTTACCATTGTATAAATGACGATTCTCTGATATTTGTTGGAGAATCGTCAGCCTTGTAAAGTCCTCCGAGATCACTACTGTCGAGGTGTTGGGATATACACAAATAAATTGAATTGCTCCGAGAGACCTGCTAATTACCTGACTTGTGGATAAACATGGCTCAGTACAAAGGGTAGCAGTAGAAGTCGAGGCCTAATGCAAACAGGGGCTGCGAGTGTTATACCAGCGAAGCAAGAGTGATTTCTGCAAAACTCCCGGGAGACTTGTCGAGGTAGAGGAGGGGAGGGTGGATGGTGGTGAAGGGTAAACTTCAGACAAACACTGAGAGCTTTGTTTATTTTTTTCATCCAACCTCCTGAAAAACCAAAGCCTGTCATCCGTCCAGCCCCGGCAAAAACATCTGTAAGCTATCGCGAGCTTAGCAAAGAAGAAGAAAAACGCACATAATGACTCCCCTACCAATCAAAACAGAATTAAACAAGAACTAGTCCTCTAATCACTCCCACATGTGCACATTTGTAGTCGTCATTTGTGTCCTACTTCTGCGGATGTGATGTCGAATCGCGCCCGCGGGGCTTTGATCGACGCAAAAAGCTCGTTATGGAAGATCTGTGGTGGTTATGTGTGAAGGTGTCGAACATGAGTGAGTGATCAGAGGTGTCAGTCACTGCGGAGAAGTCTGTGCTCGGATACAAGTGGTACAAAAGCAAAATGTAGGATAAGAACAGATGGAAGAAGGGGAGAAATTTATTGAGTTGGGGCAGGTTTGTGAATGTTAGCTGTAGGTGTTTGCAGGTCGATTGTAAAACAGAACCTTTCAAGTTGTTATCAGCAACACCTGTGACAGTTATGGTTGCAAATGGGTGGAAAATGTACGCTAAATTACCCTAAAGCTTACAGGAAGTTTCCACAAAAACTTAAGCTAAGGAATTTTTAAAATATTCTATAACTCTATCAGAAGTATAAAGGAGGATTTTCCCCAATTTTAGAAAAGAACTGCCCTCTCCACTTTTTGAACAAAACTCTCTGGTCTTATTTGACGAGCACGTATCACCAGAATGATTGACACTTAGGAGGACCAATAGTCTTGATGATCCACCCGGAAGTAGAAAATCCTACTAAATACCTGGAATTGTAATGTAATTAAATTGTATCATATCCAAGCATAAATATAAACAGAGGTCAGTCAAGTCAAGAAAACATCCAAATTTAATCAAGTTTATGCTAAAATGTTCTTTACTCAACTATAATCAGTTCCCTCAATTACAAAAATGTCCAGTTTATTCCCATAAATTCCTGTTAATTCCGCAAAATGAAAAGAACTAAACATGGGGAGGCTGCATTTCAGATTTGTGAGGCTAGGATTTGGAACAGTCTTCCTGAGAATGTGAGACAGGTTTTTAAGTTCAAAACGGTTCTGCTTCGCTGTGCATACAACTGATTGATATTCTTTTTAGGTGCACTATGGCACTAATGTTTTAATGTTTTTAATCCAATGTGTGATTTTATTATTTTTGTGTTTTTAAAATGTCTTGTGAACTCATTGTGTGTTTTTAATGCCCTTTGGGATTCTAATTGTATTTTTAACGTTTATGTGGATTTTAATGTCTACGATTTATGCCTGATGTGGTGTGGGTTGTGAGACGCTTTGTGTAGCCTTGTGTAGAAAAGGCGCTCGACTAATAAAAGTTGATTGATTGATTAATAAATTCACATTAATTCACATGGAAACATTAGTCTTTTAACATTCCTTGGATTTGGCCACCGTAATTACAATACCATACTGACCTTACCCTCAGTCCTCTCCTCATGACTCGGGTTATGGTTATACAAACAGACAACACTAAACCTACACACACACAACACCTCGTATACAGCTAACATCTGGAACAGTCTTCTTGAAAACGTGAGACAGGTTTCTATGTTCAAATCCAGATTAAAAACAGGGATTGTCTCATCTCTCGATTTTATGTACTGTGATTATTAATGATTTTTCCTTATGTGACTGTTTCTATGTTGTTTAATTCAGCAGTTTTGAGTTGCTTTGTGTATAAACTGTGCTATACAGATACAAATATCCTTATCCTTGCCTGGACTTGCTCACAGTTATAAGACATGAATGCATCTTGGTAGCTAGCTTACTTATCTTTGTACTTGATGAAATCCAGACTACAGTAAAGAGGGAGTTAGCGCTGGTGTGGTGGAGCAGTGGATCTGGCATTCCGCCGCTCGGGCAAACATTCAGAAGTCCAGGCTACTCAAGCGTGCCTGACCGGCCCTTTGTGTTTGCCGCGGCGGGCCACAGTTCCACCGGAGCAATTAGATGCAAGACCTTTTCACCCATAATCCATCTGACCTGGACGCCCACCACCAGCTCTGCAGATGCCCCAGCCCTGGATGCCCACCACCAGCTCTGCAGATGCCCCAGCCCTGGACGTCCACCACCAGCTCTGCAGATGCCCCCGCCCTGGATGCCCACCACCAGCTCTGCAGATGCCCCAGCCCTGGACGTCCACCACCAGCTCTGCAGATGCCCCAGCCCTGGTTGTCCACCACCAGCTCTGCAGATGCCCCAGCCCTGGACGCCCACCACCAGCTCTGCAGATGCCCCCGCCCTGGATGCCCACCACCAGCTCTGCAGATGCCCCAGCCCTGGACGTCCACCACCAGCTCTGCAGATGCCCCAGCCCTGGCTGTCCACCACCAGCTCTGCAGATGCCCCAGCCCTGGACGCCCACCACCAGCTCTGCAGATGCCCCCGCCCTGGATGCCCACCACCAGCTCTGCAGATGCCCCAGCCCTGGACGTCCACCACCAGCTCTGCAGATGCCCCAGCCCTAGACGTCCACCACCAGCTCTGCAGATGCCCCAGCCCTGGCTGTCCACCACCAGCTCTGCAGATGCCCCAGCCCTGGACGTCCACCACCAGCTCTGCAGAGGCCCCAGCCCTGGGCAGAACTGCGGTGGTGCACCCAGGACACATCCACCTGTTAGTGTGTTTACAAGGCCCCACAGAAAACCAGATCCTGAGGCAGCGTTTCTGGATTTATGCTGCTAAAAGTCTTCCTGATAAATGTGAGACAGGTTTTACTCTGACGGGGTTCAAATCCAGGTTGTTTGTATATTTATACACGTTAGAGTTTTTTTTATTATTGTAAAATATACACGATTTTTTTGAAAACATGCAATTTAAGATCTACTGTTTATAAGGACCGAAGAATTACAACTGCAGCTACTACTACTACTACTACTACTACTGCTACTGCTACTGCTACTGCTACTACTACTACTACTACTGCTACTGCTACTACTGCTACTGCTACCACTACTGCTACTGCTACTACTACTACTACCACTACTACTACTACTACTACTGCTACCACTACTGCTACTGCTACTACTACTACTACTGCTACCACTACTGCTACTGCTACTACTGCTACTACTACTGCTACTGCTACCACTACTGCTACTACTACTACCACTGCTACTACTACTACTACTACCACTACTACTACTACTACTACCACTACCGCTACCACTACTACTACTACTACTACTGCTACTGCTACCACTACTGCTACTGCTACTACTACTACCACTACCACTACCACTACTACTACTACTGCTACTGCTACTACTACTACTACTACTACTAATACTACTACTACTGCTACTGCTACTGCTACTACTAGTACTGCTACTGCTACTGCTACTACTACAACTACTAATGCTACTGCTACTGCTACTACTACTACTAATACTACTGCTACTGCTACTGCTACTACTACCACTACTACTACTACTACTCCTACTACTGCTACTACTACAACTCTTACTATTGCTACTATAGGTGCTACCACTACTACTACAACTAATACTCCTACTACTACTACTACTACTACTACCACTACTACTACTACTACTACTACTACTACCACTACTACCACTACTACTACTACTACTACTACTCCCACTACTACTACTCCTACTACTACTACTACTACTACTCCTACTACTACTACTACACTCAGCGTACACAGACTAGTTTATATGCAAAGTTAGCTTCAGTAAACAAGACAAGTGCGATAATCAACCTACACAAAACATGTCACTATTAATGTCATTTAAATACTGTGTTCCCTGCGACCAAAAGAGGAGAGACTGCGGTTCCATTTGTGTGCGTCTCTAATCCCTCCACAGCAAAAGGAGGCGATTAAACAGGTTTAAAATACCACAATTCAGACTGTTCCCTCTGAAAAAAACATTCTTATTTTATAAGCACATTAGGCAAATCAATTTAACATAAATTACACGCCTCGCTGACAAAGGCTCCAAGTTGAAAGTCATCTGCAAATTGTCGACATCAAAGTCAAACGCTAAAATAAACTTTTGCGTTTGAAGGAGCGTGTGCAGAGCTGTTGTTTTGTTGTTCAAACATTCAATCAGGCCGTGTTTTCAGAAGACTCCTTATTTATACCAGCGCTTTAAGGTGAACCTCCAGCACAGGGTTTCATTAGGAGCACAATTGCCAAATGCATAAGAAATGAAGGGGGGTCTTCTTACATTTGTCCACCTCCACCCGCCACAGCGAGGATACTGTATTTGTGTTTGTTTCATTAGGGGGCTCTGTTCAGTGCTGAGGGCCTCCTATGGGAGGAGACTGGCAGCGCCATAGCATTCATCATCATTACATCAGCGACCACCGAGATCTGCTATCTTAGGCTTATCAGCACAGCTCCAACGCACCACGGCGCAGGAACAGGAGCGAGATGGGAGATGGAGGAGGATAAGAGGAGGAGAAAATGAATGGGCAACGGAAGAAGCTGTGTTAGTGGATGAGAGCGCCCCACATGCCTCTAACGCTCTCCAGTGAGTCGAGTGTTTGAGCATTTCACACTTATGCCTGGAACATTAGGGCTGCAGCACTGCAGGAACAACTACAACATCAAAAGGACAAGTGGAGGCCTCTTTAGCTGAACATAGCAGTGAGAATACTCTGCCACAAGCTGCTGCAAACAGCCAGTGAGTGGATAAGGCCCCAGACACAGTGGAAGTGTGTAGTGGTGGTAAGAGGGCCTGTCATTGGCCTAAATCCCCACTGGGACTGTGTGCCCCGCACTCAAAAGCTCTGTGAGAGAACCACATGCTTGGGTTTCAGCCTGTGTTCTGCCCCTGGCCCTGGAAGGCACAGGAGCAGAGATCCCAGATTGGGTCTTTGTGGTTTCACTCTGCAGACACGCTGAGCCAGGCCCAGGTGGCACTTCCGTGTGGTAAGACGCCTGTTAGTACGACTTTGTTCCACTCTCATGTATCTGGTATGTACTGGGGTTTATGCCACTTCAATTCTGTGGCTTGGTTGGAATACAGCCACAGGGCTCTGCTATAAATGTCATGGTTTAGATTTATTTCCTGTTTTTTACAACATATATGGACATTTATCAACATGCATGGACATTGCTCTATCTCCCTATGAACCATTACCTATGTTTTTGTGCTTGAACGGTTTGATTCACTGATCTGTGATGGCATTTCAACAGTTTTGTTAAGTCCTCTGAGTTAATACTGTTGTTATTTAGGGCGGTACAAGAGTAAAATGAATTGAATGTTTTTGTTACTTGATGCTTTGCCACCCCTCCAAGTAGCTTAGTTAAACTTACCTGCCCTCATATTTGTGTGACCTGTGTCTCCTTAGTCTTGTATTTAAGTTTCCAAGTCTGTTTATATTCTTCTCGTTGGTCCCTGTTTGGACACTTTTTGTATTTACTTTGGATTTTGTTTTGCAGTCCGGCGTTTTGGGTTCTTTTCATGTTTCCTCTCATGACAATAAACTATTAAAACACTCTTTAACGTGCCGTATCTGTCGTCAGAGTAACATTAGCGCGTCAAGGACAAGCCGAGCCACAACAGAGCCCCATCAACAGCTTTTGGCAGAGCTAATGAGATTATTGAAGCTAGTCCCTCGGACCTCTCCACTTCAGATGCTGTGGAGGCTGGTGAGGACCTGTGAGAGAGCAGCCAACATTCCTGTGGAACAAACCCACACGATGTAATCGCACTGCCTTACACGACGCCTCTTTCTCACTGGCTGCGTTCGAGATAAGGACGGAATAAAGCACCACAATAGACAACACTCAGGCTCCCAAAGTCCCACTGCTTATTAACTGTTTATTTATATATTTTCATTTCAATTGTTGGTGTTTGTGGAAGAGGGATTCTGACAATGAGTATCACAGCAGCTTTGGAGACTCGGGACGGCCCTCGAGTTCTCATTTACTGACGATCTTTGTTGAACGAGAGAGGCGTACTTTTAAATATGCATGTTCAGCTGTTTAAACTAACTAATATACACACACACACACACACACAAACACATACAGCTGACACTCATATCCAAATAGGGGGTAGGCCCACATACTGTAAGTGTTTTAGTAAGTAGGTAATCATTATTTAAAAAATAACATGCTAACATGTACAGTAGTATCACATGATGCTAACATGTACAGTAGTATCACATGATGCTAACATGTACAGTAGTATCACATGATGCTAACATGTACAGTAGTATCACATGATGCTAACATGTACAGTAGTATCACATGATGCTAACATGTACAGTAGTAGGCACGGTGGCTGAGTGGATAGCACTCTCGCCTCTCAGCAAGAAGGTCCTGGGTTCGAATCCCGGTCGGACCAGGGCCTTTCTGAGTGGAGTTTGCATGTTCTCCCCGTGTCTGCGTAGGTTTCCTCCGGGTACTCCGGTTTCCCCTACCACTAAAAATATGTACAATAGTTCTGGCATGCGCCTCCTGTACTGGCCCCGCTCCCATCTCTGTGTGGAGTGAGAGACAAATGCCCAAAATAAAAAAAAATAATAACAATTGTAAACCGCTTTGAGACTCAGATCTGCAGTGAAAAGGCGGTATATAAATAAAGATTACTTACTTACTTACTAGTATCACATGATGCTAACATGTACAGTAGTATCACATGATGCTAACATGTACAGTAGTATCACACACTTCCATGTAAAGTAGTATGACCCCGCTGTGCGATAGGATCTCTTCATATTCATCTTAATGCAGGGGTTAAAGCAAAAAAAAAAGATTTGACTGAAAATTTTTGCATGGAAATTTATCACATGTAAATCACAGTAATATGCAGGACCAAGTTATATTTGTAATTACAATATATTATTGTATAATAGATTGTATATTGAATACAGCTCAAATGAATTCTTCAAAGATATACAGTGTATTTTGATATGAAATATAAGTGGATCAAGCAACGAGTCAACTTTTTGACAGAATATTAGTGAGAGTAGCTTTACTTGAGGCGATATGGAGCGTCAACACTTTGGCTCTGTCCTCGTCAAAATATTGCAAAAGGACGATAAAATTCTGTCCACATTTGTTTGTGGACACGTCAATATTTAAGAAAAAGGTTTCCCTATCAAGTTTGAGTGCACAGTGCACTTCGATCAACTGCAAATGATTTAAATAAATCTACCAGCAGTAGTGATATTCTGAACGTTATTTTCTGCGATAAAGCCACAGACACGGTCCGCCAGAGCAAGCCTAGTGTCAGTTGTTGCTGATGCACCAGGTAAAGATGAAGTGTGGGAAAGTGCACAAACAGCTGCCTTGTGCGCAGTTTTGAGCTGGTGGCGAATCAAAACTTTTTTCTCATTACTCCCATATATGCAATTTTTTATGGCAAAGTACGCACAAGCACCGGCTACTCTCATCTTTTCGCACCATGACTCGTTGATTGGCTCTTTTACATCACGCTGAGTTTTGCAAGAAGATCGCAAACAAGACAATATCAAAAGCTCACCAAGACATGTTTGTCCCCATTCCCAGTCGCAGCAAAGTCTGTTTTGTACATTCCGTTAAGTAAATAGCATTGCGTTTGGTAAACGTTAATTACCTTTCGTCTATTACGCGCCCAGCTTACCAGTCCGCGGATCTGCTGCTGTTATTGCTCCGTTCGAGATTCAATTTTCCTCCTCTTCTCCTTTTCAAAAGCTCCGTGCAGTTTCCAGAAACTTTCACCTCCGTGTTACCAATGCTAACTTCATCGCGTCTTCATTTGCGCGTGAGCTCAGCTACGTCCCATTGCCTTGATTCATTTGCGGAGCGCTCATGTGGCCACGGCGCGTTCAAGGCCCACTCGTGATTATATTACTTATTATTTCTATATACATATAAATACAATTATATTCAAATTATTATTATACATCGAGATATATATATATATATATATATAACAGATTCACACGTATATGTATTACTATATATTATTTTTATAATCAATCATTTCATTGTGTGTATTATTATCATTATATATATATATATTTTTTTTTTCCAGACCAATTTCATTTGACGGAAATCCGTCACCTAGACGGAACTCTTTAATCCCTGTCTTAATGCTTTGCCTTCTCCTTTCGAGGCCCATGTGGTGAAATATGTCTGGTCTATGAATGTTTATGACACTTGACAGTCAAATTGCATGTGAAAACTTTCAGAGGTAGGAACGCCTCCGAACTCCGCCGTGTCTAAGTTGTGTTTCTCGTTGCATCAGAACACGGCGCGAGTTTCCATCTCCGCGGTCCCAGCGTGTAGTGAGGTCTGTATCCTGTCAGTGCGCCTCTGTGCTGCAGCGAAAACACACTTATGTTTGTGGAGGCATTCTTCAAAAACAAGGCTTTAGAAGGAGCTCCGCAAGACGGCAGCAACCACAGCGCGACAAGAACATCCTTCATGCTCTTTTCAGCCAGAACCTGTTAGCGCGTCCCGTGTAGCGCGGTGCGAAAGAGGCTGTGTGACAGACTGAGGAGTGGGTCTATCCGTGGCTTCTTCTCTCACTATGCAAGTGCGAGTGTGTGCCGAGCGAACAGAGGACCCCAGGGACAGGACGAGTGCCGGGAAGAGAGATTTGGGTCTTGAAGCAGCAGCAGTCCCCTTTCCCTGTGTGTGCTTTGAGCTCTTGTGCACACAGAGGCATCACGCTGAGAGATGGAGTAAGAGAGAGCAGCGACAGCGAAGAGGCTTTGATCCCAGGCCTTTAACACTGTCCACTGGCGACACCAGGCCTGTAGGTGGCGCTGCACCTGTATCTGTATAGATATGTATCCCAGACATGATTACAGTTTGAAATCAAACTCATTCTGGTTTGGGGGCCAAGTTTAAGAAAATACAAGCTGTTTGGTGCTTTTGTATTTTGACAAATTTATTGTATTTGAAATGAGTTTGGATGTTATTTTCAAGTAGATTTGAATTCAATCAAAAAACAAAGTAATTGAAGATGAATTATATGGTTGTTTTCCTGAGGCTTTAAATTTAAGAATATCATGCCATAGTTTCCTATTACCATCACGCAAGTTACTGAAATAATGAGGAAAGAAAATCATTTCGGGGCCAATCATTTGAAAATCATTGACTACCTTAAAACAAGAGACTAATAAAAGTTTATCTTGATTGGGACAAAGCAAAATTCTTGTATTTCAGTTCTTGAAATAAAACTTGCGCAGACAGAACCACAAAGCGCTTTACCATTGTGGACATTTTTCTCTCACTCACAGAGATGGGTTTTTAGTGAGCAAGAGGATCACTAAAAACGCAGACACAGGGAAAACATGCAAACATTACACTCAGAAAGGCCCGGATTCGAACCTAGGACCTTCTTGTCGCCCCAATCTACCCACAAGTACAAATGAAGTCACCTTGAACTTTGTATATCATTGCTAAACATAGATCTCAAAATCATCTCCAAGACCTAAGTTCATAGATTAGACTAAATTCTCCGAACTGTCATCCACCCAGATCAAACCGGATTCCTCAAAGGCCGATTCTCCTCAAACAACAATCGCCGATTAATAAAGGGGTAGAAAATGAATGAGTGAGTGAATGAATACTCGCAGACTTCTAAACACCAAAAACCCCGACTGCGCTCGTCTCTGTAGATGCAGAAACTCATCTCTTTCTTCCTTGTGAAAAATCTCAAAAGTACAAACCCCCGTCTGTAGTTTTAGCACCAAGTTTGCGGTGAACTTTCTCCCCGCTGTAATCACTCTCTCCCTTCCTGCTCGGCCTTAATTCCAGCGTGTGATTGGTGTTGAAGGCAAGTGCATCAGTGCTGCTCCGTGATTAATGATCGGGCCGTCTTCTCCGGGGCCGAACCCTCACAACAGCCAGGGGGCAGCGCGATAATGCACAATAATAAAGCCAGCAGACAATCAGCCAGGCAAAGCAAGGCCTATTAGCTCGCCCCATCAGGACGGCTAAGTGCGAAATTAGACCTTCCCAAGCTTCGCCACAATTCATCAAGCCCTGCCCTGAGTTCCCCCTCAAGAAGTCATAATGTTTACTTAAAGACTGGCCCCGTGCCCTAGTGGCTGGCTTCATTGGCTCTTATTAATTCCCGGACTAACCCTCGCGGCCGTGCCATTTAAACCACATTAAAGAGGTGAAAATTGGATGAGATGAAGTTGTCTGGTTGTTTGGCGCTCCCAAGATAAAGCCGTAACTAAACGTAGGCAGACTGCAGTGGAATAAGGAGGCGGGAGGCGGGGGGTGAGGGGGGGAGGGGCTAGTATATGGGGATGTTAAGGAATGCTGAATGAAGCCGTCCGGAAATGTGTTGCAGTCCGTCAGAGGAATGCAGGCGGAAAGACAAGGGAGGAAGAGAAAATTGAAGAAATGGCAGAGCTTTAATGCTCGACTTCCTGTGTGTGGAGGGAGTACGTGCGGAGGGGAGCACAGGGACGCAGGACCTACATTCCACAGGGAGAGCACAGGGACGCAGGACCTACATTCCACAGGGAGAGCACAGGGACGCAGGACCTACATTCCACAGGGAGAGCAAAGGGACGCAGGACCTACATTCCACAGGGAGAGCACAGGGACGCGGAACCTACATTCCACAGGGAGAGCACAGGGACGCAGGACCTACATTCCACAGGGAGAGCACAGGGACGCAGGACCTACATTCCACAGGGAGAGCACAGGGACGCAGGACCTACATTCCACAGACGAAAAACCCGAGCGTTGGACTTGTGTGGAGTCGTCTGAAGGGCCCTGAGTGACTGTGAAGGCGACAGCTCAGAGAAACTTAGAGAAACTTAGACTAACTCAGACAAAGTTATACTAACTTAGAGAAACTTTGTCTGTGTATGTGTGTGTCTGTGTATGTGTGTGTCTGTGTGTGTGTGTGTATGTGTGTGTGTGTCTGTGTGTGTCTGTGTCTCTGTGTATGTGTGTGTCTGTGTATGTGTGTCTCTGTGTATGTGTGTGTCTGTGTGTGTCTGTGTATGTGAGTGCCTGTGTGTGTGTGTGTCTGTGTTTGTTTGTTTGTGTGTGTGTGCGTGCATGCATGCGTGTGTGTGTCTGTGTATGTGAGTGTCTGTGTTTGTTGTGTGTGTGTGCGTGCATGCATGCGTGTGTGTGTATGTGTTTTTGTCACTTTACAGCAAAAGTTAGAATATTTTACGCTGTGTGTGTGCTTCTGTGTGTGTGCGTGCATACATCAGAATCAGAATCATTTTTAATGCCACGTACATGTCAAATCAATCGATATTGATCTGATATCGATATTGAAATGATCAAATCGATTCATAATTTCCTTTCCCCACATGACACAAAGTCCAGACACTGTCATTGTCTGTAATTAAGACTGTATCAATTGAACAGCCAATAAAATTCTGTCCTATTCTATTCTCTGTTCTCTGCCTTGTTTGTTGGTTTTCTGATGGCGTTTGAGTGGCTCAGTATTCTCCAGATCCGCGGCTGTGAAGTGGGTGTTTCGTGACCGCAGGTGAGAGAGCGTCCCGAGGAGTAAGGCGAAGTATACGGGAGGCGCCAGATCAAAGTGCCGGAGTCTTCCAGCTCCTTGACGTTGTCTCCCAGCGGCTGCGTCGGGAGACAACTTTCTCCCTTCACTTTCATATCAAACTGGTCTCCCCCCATCCCCCCCCCCCCCCCCCTCTCAGTCCCTGGATGCTGACTCCGAAGGCTCCACACACACTCTCCGTTGTCGTTTCTCTCCCTGGCGGATTTGCTGGATCCGCCGCACACCCCAAACCTACAGCTACACGAGCGTCTACAGCGGAGCCCGAGCATCAAAACACTCTCACAGACGCTCGGCTTTGGAAGAGTTTGGAAGAAAGTCTGAGGCCCGGAACAAACACACGTCAGCTCCCAACCTGCAGCATGCAAAATGATGCCCTGAACTCTGCAGCCGAGAGACAGGTGTGAGCGGGAGAGAGGAGGGAGAGAGGAGGGAGAGAGGAGAGAGAGAGGAGGGAGAGAGAGGAGAGAGAGAGGAGGGAGAGAGGAGGGAGAGAGGAGGGGGAGAGGAGAGAGAGAGGAGAGAGAGAGGAGGGAGAGAGGAGGGAGAGAGGAGAGAGAGAGGAGAGAGAGAGGAGGGAGAGAGGAGGGAGAGAGGAGGGAGAGAGGAGAGAGAGAGGAGAGAGAGAGGAGGGAGAGAGGAGGGAGAGAGGAGAGAGAGAGGAGGGAGAGAGGAGAGAGAGAGGAGGGAGAGAGGAGAGAGAGAGGAGGGAGAGAGGAGGGGAGAGAGGAGAGAGAGAGGAGGGAGAGAGGAGGGAGAGAGGAGGGAGAGAGGAGAGAGAGAGGAGGGAGAGAGGAGGGAGAGAGGAGAGAGAGAGAGAGAGAGAGAGGAGGAAAGGAGGGAGAGAGAGAGAGAGAGAGGAGGAGAGAGGAGGGAGTGATGAGGGAGGGAGAGAGGAGGGAGAGAGGAGAGAGAGAGGAGGGTGGAGGAGGGAGAGAGAGAGAGAGAGAGGAGGGAGAGAGGAGGGAGAGAGAGAGAGAGAGAGAGAGAGAGGAGGGAGAGAGGAGGGAGAGAGGAGGGAGAGAGAGAGAGAGAGAGAGAGGAGGAGAGAGAGGAGAGAGAGAGGAGAGAGAGAGGAGGGAGAGAGAGAGAGAGAGAGAGAGGAGGGAGACTGGAGGGAGAGAGGAGGGAGAGAGGAGAGAGAGAGGAGGGAGAGAGGAGGGAGAGAGGAGAGAGAGGAGGGAGAGAGGAGGGAGTGATGAGGGAGGGAGAGAGGAGGGAGAGAGGAGAGAGAGAGGAGGGAGAGAGGAGAGTGAGGAGGGAGTGAGGAGGGAGAGAGGAGGGAGTGATGAGGGAGAGATGAGAGAGTGAAGAAATATAATAAAAGTTTAAAAAATAATAATAAACAAAAATGTACGTTTTCTTTTCTTTTCCCTTCTGTCTAACGGCCCTGGACTTATTTACAGTTCAGAATCAGAATCAGAATCATTTTTATTGCTTCTATTTCGGCCTTTCACAAAAATTCAACCCGTAAAAATCTGTTGCTTGTTGATATTCTATCATTTTGGTCAAATTTTAACTTGTAATTTTATTATACTCTCATGCTGCTAACATTTACAGATATTATATTTTTCTTGTAGAATATACAGTTTTCAGAGAGGTTGTATCTGTGATGCAACACTGACATTTCCCCACTCTGGGACAAACATAGAATCTCTTCATCTATAATGTCAAAAAGAAACCATAATTTCATGCTGCAGATTGGAACTAAACACCAAACTAAGGCCCTATATTAGAAAGTGCTTCAAACTAAAACTCGACTCAATAAGCCACAGAAGCTACGATCCCAGGCATAAAAATGGATGAAACCAAAACGCCATTAGAGCGTGCGTTGCTTGAGGCTCACGTTCTCTGTCAGAAAGAAGCCAAACATCTGGGCGCATTTACTTGTTTCAGCTGTTCCCAACTCCGCCTCCAATAAATCTGGCAGAAGGGAAAAGGCATTGGTCGGGACAGCTCCTAAACAAACACACAAGTCCACTGCCGCACTCCCTCAACCTGGCGCCCTCGTCTCCACCTCTCAACCAGTGGCGGGGCGTATGAATCTGCGGAGCGGGAAGGGGGAGGCGCGGCGTTAATTGGAGCGTTTGACGGGAGCCTGGGGTTAATTGGGAAGCATGGAGAGCAGCTGGCTCCGTTGTGGAAGTTGAGACAGGGATAATAAGTTCAGCCTTTGCAGGAGAGACAGTTAGTGATGAGGCAGATCAGAGGCAGAGTGTAACTGTAATCATCCGTACATTCACCCCTGACATGAACAGACAGCCTGGCTCCCGGCTTTTCCCCCCGAAATCTGGCACCTATCAACCTCACGGACGCTTCACACCGCGATCATCCGGCTAATCGGCCGCGCACACAATAACTCCTACCTCCAGGACACGGGATCCAGTCAGCCTAGCGGTCAATGTATGTAAATCTCTCCAGCTCCTGGTGTACTAATGGCTTATTAGCCTCCGTTAGCTGGTTTGCATTGATCTCTATGCCAGAGGGAGATGAAAACTAGAGCAGTTCACTGTTCATAAGGGCTATAATCACATTTTAGCTTGTTTCAATAAAAGCAGCATTAGCATAAACCATTGCAAACACGTTGAAGCCGTCACCTTTGCCTGGATTTATGGGCAAGAAGGAGCAAAAACAACTTTCCTTGAATTCAAATTGAGCTCAACTGGACTTTGTAATAGAGATAGGGGCAGAGGAGAGTGGAATAAATGTAGTGGCTTTCCAGTGTGAAGAAATACATGTTACAAGTTCCACAAACTCATTTTTAGGGTGACCAAAACACCAAACCGTTGACAGAGGCTTAAAACAAAAACACAGACGACTTTATTACAAATTTCTTCTGGATAAGACCTTTGCTGAGAGGGTGAATGTGAGGGAGCCCAGGTATAGTCATAGGCATTAATGGGAGGAGACAGGGACTTAGAGCGCCACACAAAAACCCCAGCTTTATAAATAATTCCAAAAGCTAACAGGCTCCCTTGTATGGGTGAATGTGCGGAATACATTCACACCCCAGTGCACACACCAGGCGAGCCACCAGGGAGAAGAGGTTATTCACACAGCTCCACTGGGGCTGTTGAGGGCGACTGACCTGCCAAGCAACGCTAAATTTTGGGCGGATATCTTGCTCGCATAGATGACGCAAAGAGGGAAAGAGAAAAGAGCTACCCCAAACAAGAAAAAACGTCCTCACGCTCACTCGTAATGCAGAGCAGAGGCGTTCGCTGGAGACCTGTCTTGTAAATCTCTTTGTGAAAGCAGATTTGGGGGGTAGACAGGGGCTTACACACTGAGCCTTGAGGTAGAGCTACAGACTCCACTCCCCAATGGCTCTCCTCCCTCTCCCACACACTGCGAGTTACTCTCCCTCTCCTTCCTCCTGATACGGCCTCCTTTTCCTTGCCCTCTTCTCACCTTTCCCTGGTTCCCATTCTTTCCCCTGTAGCGCTCTCTCCTCCCCTCTGTCCCGGGCTCGAGCTGTGGTCCTTAGCCCGCGGGCTCCCGTCGGGCCGCAGTGACTAATGTCCTGCTTTTGCTCAGACAATGAGTTTGAGACTGAGCCGGGGAAAGTGTTGAGGAGGGGAAAGGAGTCCGCACCTCTGACAAATGGGACCCTTCGCCGTCCTGCGCCCGCTGAGGGAGGCTTTACAATGTCTAGCTCCACGCTTCACGGCCTCCGAGGAACGGCTGCAACACGCAAAGCCGCATCTGGGGGGATATAATGAATTCTTTGGGAAGTCTAACCTGGCTTTCTTTATGAATAAGATATATTTCCAAAGCATGTCGACCCCGCTTAATAAAAACAGCAGTCTGGCAGGAATAGCCAACACCGTTTTAGGCCTCCGTGTACAAGTTAATATTTCTGTTTCCTATAAATTTACTCCGGCCTACTTCTTTCCGGGGCCTGTCACGCCAGGCCTCTGCTACATGTTTCTTAAAAAGTCCTGTGGAATATGGGCTCGTCAGAATGGACTTGGGACAAACGCAAGACATAATATTCAAGAGATCAGGCCTTTAAGTTCATGGCCTTCATTCAATTCAATTCCATTTATTTTTGTATAGCACTAAACCACATTTTTTTTAAAAACTGTTGATTCACCAACACAGATCAGAGAATCAAGTGGTTCAAACACAAAAAATGCAATGGTAAAAAACACATGGATCTGTTGGTGCATAAGGAGCGGATGACCCATGTCCATAAATGTCATGTCTCTGATGTTTGGACAAGCAAACACCTGTAGATTGGCGTCTTTTGTCCATCATATATAATGCTTTCTCTATAAAAACTCTAAAACTGAGAATCAAACTTAAAGGTTACTGTGGTGCATAAAGATCTTGTCTAAAGTCTCTTGTTTTGGACCGTCCATAGAGAGACGAGGGCCGATGATCACTGTTAAAACAACTGGAGACTCTTTCAAGGAACTCCAACTCGTGGATGCTCTCTCCACTTCCCTGCACACCACCCTCTGTGAAACCCTGAAAGGAACAGGCTTTGTCTAAAGAACCCCCTCCCTCCTCAGCTCCACACACCCCCTTTCCCAAACCTTGTTCCGTACTCCCTGCGGAGTATTGTTCAAACACAGCCCCCTCTCCTTCCAAACCCCAGCTTCTTAAAACAGCGTGCTTTGCATGAGAAAAAACGATTAGTCTTCAAATGTTTCACTGTCAAAGCGCCTCTTTCTCAGGTTGGGCCTGAAATGATCTCAGATAGTAGACTTCTCCTTTTGTTTTTCTAAGATGAGACGTTATTAGCACCAGGCTGTGTCTTCATTCATTGCCGAGGTGAACAAACTAAAGCCTTTATGAACAGTTTCCCTCCCCTTTCTTTTTTCCAAGTTGCCCCAAGTCTGCAGCAGGCGGAAATGAGGCAGAAGAGGGGGAGAAGTGCTCATCCAAACATGTTTGCAGAGTAAAGAATGCAGGCCTTGTGCTTCTTTCAGGTATTAACCTTGGGATTTACATTTGACATTCGAACAATGGCCCCCTCCTTGACCTACACTCCAGGATGAAGCAGGACTTGGGAGGACTCCCACTGAAGCAGCAGGCGTTTGCAAACACACTGGGATCGACTACTGCATGACAAAACATAACTTAATCACTCATCAAGCTAATGAACCCAACACAGAGGACTGTTTATGAAGAGAAAACTGAAATTTTAATGTTGTAGTGTAATAAATCTGAGGCGCAGTGATTCATGGCGTCACACTTCAGCAAACAGAGCAAAGTGACGGATCATTGTTCACTTCAGCGGAGTTCATGCGTCCCCCTCCTCGGTCTCCAGCGGAAGAGACCAGACCCCCTCACGGATGCCACAACCATCTCCCATCAACCTGAGCACAATAACACATCTGCAGCAGCCTGACCACACTCACACACAACAGGCCGCACACTTCACCCATCGCTGCTATGCTTTTCACAGCAGTTTAAGGACATTCTTACAACTGTGAGCAAACAGCAGAGTCCTGGTCTCAAACAGCAGAGTCCTGGTCTCAAACAGCAGAGTCCTGGTCTCAAACAGCAGAGTCCTGGTCTCAAACAGCAGAGTCCGGGTCTCATGTAGATGTGACCGGCCTCATGTGTGGCCAAAGTGTGGGATGTTGCTACTTGAACTTAATAAGGTCTTATATTTCTCTTATATGTGACATTTATGGACTTTATTAACATTTCCGGACATTGGTCATCTGCACCTTATAGAATAGCGGGTCTATGTGTTTTTTATCATTGCGTTTCTTGTATTTGAACTCTTTGATTCTCTGATCTGTGCTGGCCAATCAACTGTTCTCTGAGATACTGTTGTGATTTAGGGTGATACAAAAAAAATGTAATTGAGTCTAGTTTGAATTGCATGGTAAGAACTTGGATTGTTTCTGAATCAAAATGACTATTTTCTAGTTAAACAACAAAAAGGAACTTGTTACTGCCAGATAGATAGATAGATAGATACTTTATTGATCCCCAAAATGAGAGATTCAGGTGTCCAGCAGCAGAAACACATCCATATAAATACATAAGTACATGAATTAACAATAAATAAACTAATAGTAGTGCACATATTGAACACAGACAGACAGTACACATAAGAGAAAGCGAAGAGAAGAGAAGTGTTTTCCTCTTGGTTGTTTCCCGAGAAGCCAAAGTGTAAGAAGAAGATTCCGAGAGTGGAATATACATATCTAAAATGACTGTGATACCGGAGTGCCCCGTCGCTCGCCTTATCCAAAGACATCACCCGGCTTGAGAGGTGCCTTTAGCAGACTCCTTGAAGCAGGGAGCGGGCGTCCCACTCTGGGACAATGGTGGAGGAGGCGGAGGGGAGCCGGGGGAGCAGGAACACATAGCATATTAAATCTGCTGGCGGAGTGCGGTCGTCCACGCACAGAGCTAGAGAGCAGATCTGAGGCATGCCCTGAAGGGATGGCTGGGCCTGGGGATTGGGAGGCACAGCCCAAGACCCCTTCTTGTCTCTGCTCGCACGCAAATGCACCCGGACGTTTCTGACGCTCCTCAGGTTTGCTATCTCTGCACAACTTTCTCCGACCGTCTTTCTACAGACCCACGTCCTTCACTTACTCCTCTCTGCCCCTGACTCTTGTCTTTCACTTGTCATCATAAGTTTGTGAAGCTATGCAAATAACCGCCGTCCAAAAGTAGGTTAAGATAAAGATTAAGAGATCCTTTATGCGTCCCACAGCGTGGAATTTTCAGTGTTGTATCATAGGTTACAGAACAGTAGGAATGAGCAGCACACAGCACGAGATAAAGGAACTCTATATTAAAATAACATACTATCTCTCAACTGGAGCATAATAAAGAAGCAAAAATAAAAACAAATCTCAAAAGTAATCAGCAGATAAACTGTATTTTGGGAACATCGTCAAACACCTGTGTCTCAAACCTCAGAATTTGACTTCTACTATTGTACGACACATCCCAGCTGTGTGTCATGTGGAAACTCTCCATCTCCTTCACATTAACCCGCTCCAACAAAACACTCAGCACCTCTTTGAGTCGCGACGCTTTCCCACATTAGCACGACAACACAGCTCATTAGGGATCTTTACATACACCGCTAATAACAGGTATTTCCAGTAAGAAGGCCTCAGGACACGAGCTGGCGTTTGGCTCTGAATGCCGGGCCTTAAGTAGAGCAGAGAGGCCCATAGCTCAAAAAGCTAATAGCGTGTCATCTCCCTGCATTAACATGATAGGCCTTATTTTGCCAGGTCACAGGGTCAGCGGAGCGCGGGGAGCTGGGGCCTATGCATAATTGTGGTGGAGGAGATAAAGCAGTACGCGGCTATCTGACAGACTGTTATCCGTGAGGTTTACTCCACACGGATCCGCGGGAGAGAGGAGGACATACATCTTGGAGCGGCTACAGTCGGTATGTGTGTGTGTGTGTGTGTTGTGCATCTCATTCCAACAGATTAGCATCTTAAACACTACTGCATTCATCACTGTTGCTGCATCATAATGAGATATATGTATGCCCTGTTTTCAGACAAGGTGCACCTGTTTGGTATTAGTATGACCTCGCCACAAGTTGGGGAGAAACGTGAGGAAAGAGAGCAGCACGCACCGATAAAAACTGCTATTTTTACTGCAAAAAAGTATGGTCTGATTTTCTGAAATTGGAAATAATTCTATATATATTCGTCATACAATTTCTCATATGTAAAGATTAGCGTCAAAGGAGTGTGTGATAATATTTGTATTATTTATCTTAATTAAAATTTTGTCTTTTTTGTTTCTTTTTCCTATTTTACACAGTCATAATTCAGTGCCTTTATGTGTTAAAATTAAAAGAAAGTAATTTATATAATGGCAGGCCTGAGTGTGAGCGTAAAAGGCCTGACAATAAGACTGTAATTTATTAATTAAAAGAAAAAAATTAAACAATTATTGCTTAATTAATCCAAAAACTTTAATATTTTACTGCATTTGCTAATTATATTTTCAAGTCCAAATTCACCCGATCTACATCCAATACCCACACACACATATTGACAGCTTACATCAGTGTGTAGCTCCATTCAATCCCATTCATTTCTGACTTAAATCACAACCGCAGTTATCTCCGTGGACTTTACAAAGCTGTCGATTCGCCCGCAGCAGATCAGAGAATCAAACACAATGATGAAAAACACATAGAGCTTCAGAAACACATCACCTCAATCGCCCGCGCTGCCTCCTGAGTGTCTGCAATAAAAAAGGCCGTCCGGAGCTGGCCCACACTTCTGCACCTCGGACACATCGAATGGACGAAACCCGAGAGCCGACAAGCAGCTAAAATGTGGAACAGCTGGCGGAGGCGGGAGGGAAACTTTTGGACAAATAGCTGCACATGTGGAGGCTCCGGTCTCCCACGGATACTTGTCACAAAATCACAAAAACCAACATGTAACTTCTGCATTTTTCCCCTTATGTCTTTTAAATAATATTGTGTGTTTTGTGTGTGTCTGGTGCATACTGGGGCACTTTCTCACATGTATTCCAAAGTGGTTTTACTGCAAATAGCAAACAAACTGAAGCCAATATTTAACTTGTAATAATAACAGTGTTTCATTTTACCTTTTCTCTGCTTTACCTCAAAAGTGCTTATCTACAATCAGACGTTTTTGGCCCAAATTGTTTTGTATTATCTTTAATGTCACACTTGACTTTGGTTAAAAATCTACAATGCATAATTCGTGGTATATTTATACACGCTGTTATTTAGCTTGGGGCCCCTGGCAGTCCCCACACGGACCCCTGCAGAGCACAGACCCCACTATAATGGGCTTAAATTTCCTTTGAGCACATGCCTTCACCACAATGTGTCTGAATCCCTCTGTTTTTATGTGAAAGGAAACTGGGCCTAATTTGAAAAAGTACCAAACAAGTCTTTGGAACAATCATGGGTAATTTTACTTTTATGAAATGAATACATAGACATACATTTCTTAGACTGATTATATATTAACTAGTGTGTATTATCATAATTACCTAATACATAAAAAGTGGATTTATTTGACTGTAAATATGTAACTAGTTTGCATTATTATAAACACAACCTATTCTGCTTTTCCTCTCCTGGAAAAAAGTGTTAATTTTTGACTTTTTTAGACCCAAATAAGAGTAAGGGGCGCGCGAGGGGTCAGTTTGAAGACTTAAGATAAACAAAACAAGGTCTGCGTACATTCTCATAAAGTGCTTTTCGAAGTCTGGCCAAGTCTGACAGCGTAAAACTGAATCAATAACAGACGCTGAAATATGATCACACGTGTGCACATAAATATGCATAGTGTGTGTGTGTGTGTGCGTGTGTGTGTTGCCCCCTCCTTCTCACCCCTTGTCCCATGCGCGCTTTCACAGGCAAACGTCCAATACTAAGTTACATGCATAGCCAACTTTCTTCTCTCTGCGCGATCCGAGTCTGCCCCACGCTACACACACACACACACACAACTTTTTGCTCAACTCCCTCCAAAGCCGTGCGTAATGCGTAAAAAAAAATCACTGAACAACTCAGACGCGCAGGAAAGAGTCCAAACTGTGCGTTATAATTGCTGCTATAATAATAATTCGCTATTTTTCTTTTAGGAATAGTTTCGCCACTTTGCAGATCCCCGTCTCCACGTGTGTTTAACTAATGATGAACACGGGGATAAACAAGAAAAGCCACGTAAAAGCCACGCATATAAGTTCAGTTTTAACATTGGACTTTTGGTGTGATTGAGTAGAGAATGTGCAATGCCTTAAGTGTGAGGTTCAGCACACGCTGGGGACGCACGGGGGGAAAAACCTTCAAAATCTCTCCCAAAACTTTGCACAGTCCTGTCTCTGCGTGCGTAAAAAGTGGACTTACTTGTGGTTTTGGGTAGACTCCCTTAAGTTGTCGCTCAACGTGAAGAAATACAGCCTCTTCTCTCCAAGTCTCTTCTCCACTCGTGAAGTTGCAGATGTGCCGCTGGAGCTGAGAGCCTGGGACACTTTCTCTCTCTCCCTTTTTTTTTTCTCGCTTGCAAAAAAAAAAGTCCAACTCCAGGAACAGTTTTCTCTCTTCTCCTGGTCCTTGTTTCTCCTCCTCTGCAGCGTGTCAGACCCACGCCATGGCCAAAGCAGTTGAGATGAGCTGTGTGTGTATAAAATAAGCGCAGAGGGAAAGACTTGTTATTTGGAGGGCTTTTCGAGCCTGGAAGAAGTGTGTGCGGGGACTCCAGCTGCTCCTTCCCCCGGCTGGCTCCTCCCTTTGGGTTCTGCTCCCCCCTTTCCCCCTCTCTGCTCCCCATTCTCCTGTCTGCTCTGCGCTGTAAAGAAGAACAAGTGGGCAACTTTTACGCACGGGGTTCAAGGCGTTTAAAAACACTTATAAGACTCCCAGAATGTTAAAACTAATAGAGTTCACTGAGCAGTTGTTTTGACGGGTCCCTTTCATATCAATGGAATTCTGCAAAAAGTCTAAAAAGAAAATAGTGAGTTTAACACAGGTTTTAGTGAAAGTAAATGTAGTTATAAGATTTACTCACGGGGTATTATAGAGTACATGTATGAGGATGTGTAGGGCTGCAACACTTTGGAACAGATTTGGCTTTCTAACGGACATTGAGATGGAATTTACTGTATGTTTTATTGTTGTTATTATTATTAGAGCATCTGATAAAACACATGCACGAGTTGATTACATGTAAAAGTATTACAGATACTGACAAAGAGAGATGGATGGCTCTGACAGTCCAATGCCAGCACTAGAAATATTGTTATTAAACTGGTCTTTCGGATGTAATTTAACTTGACTTTTTGACGTTAGTACAAAATCTAAGCTATAGTAATGTGAATGGAGGCCTTCTTAAATAGGGACAAATAAAATACAAAACCCGAAAGAATATGTCATTAAACTCACTTTTGTTCCATCTTGTTCGTACCATTTCCATGCGTCCTGTAATGACAAACATTAAATTGTTAAATATGCTGTAAAACATATATTACACATTTCTTAAAAACTTAAATAAAACTTCCAGAATGTCTGTGCCTTGCTATTCCTAACGCTAACGTACGGACTAGCAAGACACAACCGTTAACTAGCGTTAGCGTTAGCATGCTAAAGCTAGCTTGTAAATCGCATTAGCCAAAATGCATGCTAGTTAATTCACTTCTAAAAAAATAAATAAAAAAGCTATAATGACACAAATTGTATTGTTAAAAATGCTGTAAACTTCGAGGAACTTCGAGCTTTTCTATTTCTAACATTGCCTCATCTTTATTTGGATGATATTAAACATTTCACCACTGTTTAGTGTTAGCCAGGCTAAAGCTAGCATGTGTGCTAGCTCATTAACTTCACAAAGAACCTATAC